CCTCGGACCTCCATCTTTTTCTTCTCTTTCGCCACCATCAAAACAGTGGACGACCATTGCGGGCTAATGCTTCCCGGAAACCCCCTCCATATATTCTTTAGAAACAATTCTGCATATCATGATGTCCACCATCAGCTTTATGGTAGCAAATACAACTTCTCGCAGCCATTCTTCGTCATGTGGATCGAATTATGGGGACTTATATGCCTTATTCACTTCAAAGAGAGCAAAGGGGGTTTGAAGCTCAGCCACCTAATGAGTTGAAAGAAGATTAGATTGAGAATCCATTTGTCTGTTACAGAACAAACATGTACCACCTGTATTTTCCTTTTTCAATTCATCCATCATTCATCAAATTCTTGTGCTTACACCTATTTGTTTATCTTTTTGTGGTAATCCAAGTAGTTGTATAATCGAAGCTTGCGCATCTCTGTAATCTTCTACGGTGGTACACACGGAAAATGTCGATAAAAGCACAGGAGATCCAATTATTGAAACTCCAGGTCACACCACTTCTAATAAGCTGGAAACATAATTAATTATGGTCTTGATCAATGATCTGATCTGATCTGATCTTATATTTAGCATATTGCTGAGTAAAATAGTTCTGCAATGGAAGAGAACCTCCAGCTCCTCAAGATTGGTATACTTTAAATATTGGTGGTTCTCCTCACAGCCTTGACTTGCGGCTCCTCTGGTGGTGTTATTCGGAATAACTTCGGTGAGTGGATCGTTGGTTTCATCAGATTAGAGGCTCCTCTACCTCTCTTCATGTTGAGCTCTAGGGCATTCATGAAGGCCTCAAGATCTCTTGGGATCAAGGACTTCATCGCCTATAGTGTCAAATAGATTGTGCATAAGCTTTTAACCTGATCAAGTCCCCCTCTGCACAGTCCAGCCCGATCGCTCTGGTACGTGCCATTTCAAGACTAACTGCTCAAGCCTGGTCAGTTGAGTTACGACTCATTCGTCGTGAAGCCAACTATGTTGCTGATTCCTTGGCGAAGCTCCCTTGTAATCTCAATGGTTCTCCTAGCCTTTACATGGTCCCTCCTATTTCGATCACTGCATCTTTATATAGGGACCTTCATGGCCCTCCCTAGGGGTGAGCAACGAAACTGAGAAAACCGAAAAACCGACACGAACCGAGTAAAACGGTTCGGTTCGGTTCGGTTTGGCTTTAAACGGTTCGATTTTCGGTTCGGTTTAAAGGCTTTATTTTTTTGATTCGGTTCCGAACCGAACCGAACCGAAAAACCCGAACCGTTAAAAAACCCGAACCGAACCGAAAAAATCGGTTTCGGTTTTTTCAGTTTTTTAACTATTCGATTTCGGTTTCGGTTTAAATATTGAAAAACCGTTTATTTCGGTTCGGTTCAGTTTTTGATAAAAAACCGAACCGAACCGAACCGAATACACCCCTAGCCCTCCCTACTCTCCCTAAAATTCCTTGATGTAATGGCCTTAGGCCTCTCTTCTATTAAAAAAAACCAAAAAAAAGAGACTAAATAAAAATAGATTTTTAATGAATTAAAATGATAAATCAAAATATTTAAATTATAGCATGAATTATTTTTAAAAAGGTGATTAATTTATTTTTAATATTTTATATACAATTGTTTTAAAAACGGGTATCAAATTAATTCTTTTTAAGAAAAGGACTAAATAAAAATAAGTTTTTTAATGTATTAAAAATGATAATATTTAAAATTTTAAATTCTAATATGAATTATTTAAAAAATATTATATTAATTTATTTTTAATAATTTTATATACAATTGTTTTAAAAAATGAGTATCAAATCGATTCTTTTAAGAGAAAATAACTTCAGTGACCGAAAATGTCTTATAATATACGATTTTAACCAACTTTTTTTGGATTTGCGAAAATGACCAACAAATTCGCAACGCGAACTTCAATTTCGCAACACATGTTCCAAAATCGCAACGCGAATAGGTAAATCGCAACGCGGTTTTTCAAATTCGCAACGGTAATTACCGAAATAGGTAAACAGTACTATCGCAATGTGATTTTCAAATTTGCAACGCTAATTACCGATATAGGTAAACAATACTATCACAATGTAAACAGTACTATCGCAATGCGATTTTCAAATTCGCAATGCTAATTACCAATATAGGTAAACAGTACTATCGCAGTGTAAACAATACTATCGCAATGTAAACAGTACTATCGCAATGCGATTTTCAAATTCGCAACGCTAATTACCGATATAGGTAAACAGTACTATCGCAATGTAAACAGTACTATCGCAATGTAAACAGTACTATCGCAATGCGATTTTCAAATTCGCAACGCTAATTATCGATATAGGTAAACAGTACTATCGTAATGTAAACAGTACTATCGCAATGCGATTTTCAAATTCGCAACGCTAATTACCGATATAGGTAAACAGTACTATCGCAATGTAAACAATACTATCGCAATGTAAACAGTATTATCGCAACGCGATTTTTTCTACCGTGTTTACCTATATCGGTAATTGAGTTGAGAATTTACCTATTCGCGTTGTGATTTACCTATTCGCGTTGCGATTTTGGAACATGTGTTGCGAAATTGAAGTTCGCGTTGCGAATTTGTTGGTCATTTTCGTAAATATAAAAAAATTAATTAAAATCATGTATTATAAGACATTTTCGGTCGCTGAAGTTATTTTCTCTTCTTTTAATGGGTAGTTGCTTCCATATAGTCATTAGTAAAAGCAAATAATATATATATACTCCTACATATATATTATTTTTTTAATGATATGTCTTGTACACGTGATATTAGTAATTATAATATAAATTTATTTATTTACTTTTTTGAGTAAACTATCATAATAATCATTTACCTTTCATATTTGTACAATTTTGTTAATCAAATTCAAAAAAGTTAAGTTTTGGTCACTCGCATTATTGTTTTATTAAGTTTTGGTCATTGGGACATCGAATGTCATTAGTTTGATGTCGTAACACATTAGTAAAAATGTTTATTTTTTATTTTAATCTCGGACCTTTTATATAAAATACTAATTTTGAACTTTTTTATAAGCCCAAAACAGTTTTAAGGACAAATTTTCAATTTATCCCTCTTTTTAATTATGTTTCTCTCACCTCTACTGAAACCTAAGTTTTTGTCCTCGCATCCAAAGTTTTCTATGGATGTCCATGGTGTTGTGTAGAGTGCTCATACCACCTTTTTTGTTGTGCGTGGCATAACAAATTCAATATGGTCTGAGGTTTTCAAGTGGTGGAGTATTGATTGATCGGATATCTTCACAGTTAGAGACTTGCTGGAAGTTTGCATTAGGTATCCGACATTCAAAGATGTAGGGAGAACGGTCACCACTAAAAGGAACGCTGGCTCAAATTCAATGTTGATGGGGGCTTTTAAAGAGGGGAAGTAGGTGTAGATGAGTGTTAAGGTACCGTAAGGGTGGGTTTGTGCCATCTGCTATGTTTTCCGGCTCAATGGCTGCAACGTGCTCAGGTCATGCAGAGCTTATCGATTTAAAACTAGCACTGATGTGATTTCATGAGATGTTATCAGTGGATGATAGTGTTTTTGCTCTGTTTTCATGGCTCTTTCCTCGGCTATGCATCTGTTTTCAATTGATTTGGTTTTTAGGAGTTGGAATTTGTAATAACTCCGAAAGTAGCCTACAAAGATATATGTCCCCAGTTAGGGCAAGTGGTCCATGTTAGTTTGTGCATTAAATTAATCATCACATGTTCATTAACTGCCAGTTTAACTGTTATCTATTCACAGATGCAAAATTTGTATATATTATAAATCTGACCAAGTCAGTGGAATAGAAGCTCTGGGGAATGGAATAGAAGCTGAATTTTGGAAAGCCACCGGGACTGACCGACCCATCTATTCATCGGAAGGCACTACCACCTCCAAGTGCATTGGCTTGAAGAAATCTCTTGTTTTCTACAAAGGTAGAGCTGCCAAAGGGGTGAAAACTGATTGGATGATGCATGAGTTTAGGTTACCTTCTCTCACCGGCTCTGCAACATCAAAGAGATACCTCGACAAATGCATTATTCCACCCAATGTAAGCAATCTAACTACAAACGAGTGAACCGCTTTCTTTTTCTGCCTCTTTTTTAACTGTTGTTATGAAAACTCTTGCAGGATTCATGGGCGATATGCAAGATCTTCAAGAAAACCAACTCCACGGATCGTGGGTTTCTCCTATACCTGAAACATCGTCGATGTCCGATATGGTTAGTAGAGGCTCGAACAGTAACACTGATGTACTACTACAGACATGTTCTGCAGCGTTTTCTCCTTTAGTCTTTGTCCCTTACAAGCCCATCGACCCGATGGCTGAAGAGAAGCTTCCTCAAGTACTTCCCATGTCCAACGGACACCTAACCAGCCTTGTTTTTGCACCTCTCGATCAAAACTTGCCGCCTGCGAAACCGGCGGTCGACGTTACTTCCATGTTGCTAAACATGTCGTCTTCCATGCTCGGACACTGCAATGGCGGCTTCTCTTCAGGGGCCTTGCCACATGAGATGCAAGGGAACATGGTGATGAATAACGATGATCAGTAGGATGATATTCGATCCATTGGATTTCCCTTGCCTTTGCCTTTGCCAATGCTCATGCCAAGCATGCCTTGAGACTCTTCATGCTATAGTGAGATGTCTACAAGTTTTTCCCCGACTCAGTGTCACACTTGATGTACTTGAACAACTTTTGGGCTTAAACAGGTTGATTTTTTTTGTTATTTTGTCTAATTGGTTTTGAAGCCCAAACCCTAACCCATAAACTCCATCATTCATGACAAGCTTAAGAAAATGTAAAAAAAAACATATATATATATATATATAAACATTGGATTTATTTTTATCCAAAAAAAGATTATTAATATATATTATCTTGTAATCATTTTATATTATTGAAAAAAAATAGATAACATATGTTCGTACTCTTGGCGAAAAAAATGGTAAACACCAACTAAATAAAGATTTTCCTTTTAGGTATCAAAATTCCAATATTTTTTGTGTTGCTGTATAAATGAGGTATATAACATATTCACAAGTGATTAACATATTCACCACCAAAGTTAACATGGGAACAGTGTAAATGAGGGTTCTATCTCTATCTTCCTACTTCTGAAGTTCCTCTGTAATTTCTCATGGCACCACACTAACTGATCCGTGCTTATTTTCACCATGTTTAATACTCTTGAAACCAATTTCAGCTCAACTTGAGCTAGGAACAATGCTTTATCTAATAGATTTCCCCCTCGTGGTTGCTTCTGCAACTTCTTTACTATACAGTTATTACTTCTCTGAATTTCCTTAAACCTTCTCTCCTTCTGCGTATGAGGAAGATGAGCATGTTATCTCGAATATTGGAGTCGGGAAAAGCATGAAATTCACAGAGGTTTAGGATGCAAACCTTGTGAAGATCTGCTCTAACATCCGTCAAAAGTTCCAAGTCAATAGGGTCCTGCGGAGCAACCTTTGCTTGCTGGGGAGTCTTCGGAATCACACTCGAATCGCCTTTGTCGGCGCGGATGAAGTCCCATAAAACGTGCATCGATTCCTCTATGATGTCGCCTAACATTTCATCCGACACGGCATCTTCTGATTTGATTTTCGAGCAATCATCTGCAGGGGCAGGCATTGCGATGCTTTTCAAGGATTGAAAACATGTTGCGGGCTGCAAAAGATAGATGATCAGTTCATATTTGATTACCTTTAATGGCTGGAACCTGGAGAAGATATCGAAGTGCACATCTGTTCTTGGTGTAATTCTCGATTCTGGGCCTGTTTTGAAAGGGTTCATCCTCCAGAAATCTTTGCACAAGCACCCGAAAACGTTGAAATCCCCGGCAACTTGGTTATAATGAACCGAGGTGGTAAGATTCCGCCAACGTTTTTAGTTTTCCATATTGCCAGTGAAGTATTTCCCAGGAAAGACATACTTGTCCAACATAGACCGTCTCAAAATCTATGTGCAAATCTCTAATCACTTCATTGGCTCAGCTCCAGCCTTCCGTTGTTTCAATAGCCATACATTTTGTGACAGAAGTGACTTAACTCCCGGCGCTGAAGCTTTTCCAGATGTTCCGCTTACTCGAACGGGGTCTTTTAGTTGCAGTAAACCTTGTGAAAAAATAGAGCACAGTAACTGCTCAAACTCGAATCTTAGAAAAAAATCTGGCATGGCTGGAGCCCGGGCTTTATCAAGATTAGAGCAGTGAAAAGGGAATAAATGCACATTTATTGGAATAACAGTGATGGGAATAAGAAAGAATTGAAATGAGGTTGATTGGTGACTTACTGATTGCATGCATGGTCTGGGAATTCAAAATGTCCAGTTTCCTCATCTTATCACGGTAACTCTTGTAAACCTTCTGAATCTCGGCAATATGATCCTTGTGATCATATTTTTCTTCAATCTTTAATGGCCCCAGTTGTTCCACCATCTTTGGAGGAGAGTCGGACTCTTCTAGAATAGTTGGAAGTCCACCGGTTCTTGCCATTTTCATTTCCATTCTCAGCCGCTCCATAAACTCGGCGTCCTCATCGTCGTCGTCTGACTCGAACTCCGAATCACCTTCGACGTCGTCGGCGTTTAAGTCTTCTTCACCTTCGACGTCGTCGGCGTTTAAGTCTTCTCCGGGCTGTGCTCCTCCTCCCATTACACACAGTTCTATGAATTCATCGTCGGAATCATTTATGAGACCACTTATATCCGCTGCTGCTGCATCATCTGAGATGTTCCTATTGCCGATATTTCATAAGTGATTGACTCAGCCTCGACCTTGTTTGTGGCTAGACATCGACCATTCTTTGTTAGGCTCCTCTCTTTCGTGCTGCCATTTTTCTATGTACATGTCGATCACCGGACTCTCGAAAAAGCTGTCGAATCTCTCTTCTATGTCACTTCCGTGTTCGTCTAAACTCTCCTCGATGATGTAATTCTCAACTGATTCCTCTGCTTTTTCTTCAAAAGTCTTCTTTTTCAATCCTCACACGCTTTGGTTCCTCCGACAACGTTTCAACAACATAATCCTTTGCTGTCTCTTTAACATCTTCTGTTTCCTCCTCAACTCTAGCCTTTGCATCGATTGACTGTTCTTGTTTGATATGTTTAACAAAACCCCAGTCAAAGGAAAACCTCAGAGCAGATTCCTCTGGTTCTTCCTCTTCCTCCAAAACGTTTTCAAGCATGAAACTTCGTTTGATTTCTCTTCGACAAGCTCCTCTGTTTCCAGAGAATTCTCCATAACTTTTGCAACAGTAAAACTATCACCAGGATCGGTATAACTCATGAGCAGTAAAGCTCTCAGCTTTGGGTTCTTCAATGAATCCAGTAAAGCCATTCCTATACAAAAACTCATACTTGCTTGAGCTCGCCACCATGGAAGAAGAATTCTCTGCTTCTCTGTTCCCTTGATCACAGCTCTGTCTTTCTTTCAACTCATCAAAGCATTCATTAACTGAAGACCTGAAGAAAAAAAACCCAAACCAACAAAAAAAAAACATTAATCCAATACCTTAGCCCCAAGAAAACACAAATCAGCAATAAAAAAGGTCCAAACCTAAACAAGTCCAAGTTTTGATCCGAAAACAAAAGCAATGAACTTGGAGAGAAAACACCAGAGAGAAGCAACAACTGGAAACATATTTGTGTACAAAAACCCATGAACAAAATCGGAAAGAAAATCAAGATGGGTCTTCTTCAACATGATAAATGATGAATCTAATATCACACATGGATTCAATCTTTCTCAATCCGAATAATTTCTCTCCCCGTCAAAGAGTAATGTTCATCGGAGAAAGTGGAGTGTCCGCTTTGTTCTTGATAGTGAAACCTTCGATGAGGAAGACGAGATTATGGGAGGAGAGGGAACAGAATTGCTTTGATTTCGAGGATTTTTTAATCATAAAGATTCAACAGTTATGGAGTTTTGGGTTTCAGGTTCTTGAAGAGTTGACCGACACGTTTTGGAGTTAGGTTCAATTCTTCGATGATGTTAATGTGGGGAAGAATGGGTCATCCTGCCCAATTTATTAATTCATTTATTAATATTATTATCTCTGTTAAATGGGGAAAAATGTTGACGAGATTTATATGTTATTATTTGATTTATTTAGATTTTAAATTTAATGTTTAAGATTTTAAATTTAATATTTGATTATACTAATATTTAAATGTTGTGGAAATTTTTTAATGTCAGAATAAAACAATAATTAATGATTAAGTAATCTGTTTGGTTTGTCTTGTAATAACGTTGAAATCGTACACCGTAGTACGTGGCTTCTTCTTCTTGTTTCTTCTTTAGGTTTTCAATACGTTACTCCAACCTATAATTATAATGTGGAATTTGGAGCAGTTTAGTATTATTTTTAAAAAGTGACGTTGATTAGGGGGTGATTAATAAGTTGATAAGCTTGTGAGTAGTTTAAACTCGACTCGATCAAAATTTATTAAATGTTTAATTCGAATTGGTTCGACTTGAATTCGAACTCGAATCGAGACCTTAACGAGCGAGCCGAGCAAAGTATAACTTGACTCGATAAGTTCGCGAGTTGCTCGTTAATTTAAAAAAACATTTTTAGTAATTACTTCAAAATTATTTCATTCAAAAAATAATCTAAATAATATTATTAATTTATTAATAAATAATAAAATAAGTTAACTACTCTATTATTTTTAATAATAAAAATATTAATTAATAATATTATTTTAATACAAAAAAAACCCAACCCTATTATCCCGTATAGTATTAGTAAATTTTATTTTTAGTTAAAAAAGGTAAATTTTTTAGTGAGCTTAACGAGCAACGAGTCGAGTTGAGCAATAAATTTTTTAAATGAGCACGAGTCGAGCAATATTTTAACGAGCTTAACGAGTAACGAGTTGAGCAGCAAAATTTTTTAACAAGCACGAGTCGAGCGCTGCCCAACTCACTATCGACTCGCTCAATAAGCACCCTAGTGTTGATAACAAGAAATTCCAAAAGAAAATTTTAAAAGTTATTTGAATTTATTTATAGAAAATGAGTTTTAAAATATAAAATGTTTGATTATAGATATTATTTTTATAAATTAAAAATATAAAGTTGAATTATATTTACCATGAATTTTATTTATTTTTTAGGATGTTAGTATTAGATTATTAAAATAAAATATAAATACATAATTAGGTGAAACCCATGCATTAATAAGGATAAAATTATAATTTGCTTCCAAACGTAAATTTGAAAATGAAAAAGTTAAGAATCCTAGTTAGTTTTTGTGGCTAGTTTGAAATCATTGTTTCCACCGTATTTTATCCGTTTGACATTAATTTTAGGGTAAAAACGAATTTTTTAACTAAAAATACTTTTAGAAAACTTACCAAATGGACCCTTAGAAAAAAAATAAAAAACAAAGCAAAAGCTAATAATTTAGAACAAATTTGATTTATCCTTTTAAATTTAAATTCTTAAAACGAAGGACCATCTTCGAGGAGCGTGAATACGAATCGAACGATCTCAATAGTAAAAAGATTATTATTATTGCTTTAGACTAGAGTCATCTTTAAACAAATATTGTATAGTACTTACCCTAAATCCAAGTCTTTTTTAATAAAAAAAAGAGAGAAAATTTAATTTTGTTCTCTTGAAATGATTGAATTATTTTATTATTATTTTTTATAATTTGGTATTTTTATTATTCAATATAAAAATAATCTAAAATAAAAATAGAAGGTGGTTGTTCATTGGTGTTGGATGTCATTGTGGTCATCGTCGACCGTCGTAGATGGTGGTCGTTCGATCCTAAATTCAAGGATCGATACGCCTCGACCCCTGAGTCTGAATCTGGTGGTTGTTTTATAGTAAAATATCCCAAAACCTGTGAATCTCGACTGAAACATTTTGGTTTCTCCACTTTCGATCTCTAATTCGCGGACTTCGAAGCAAATTCTAACAAAATAGAGGTCGGATTCGGATTCAAAATGTCGAGACGAAGCGATCCATAAAATTTAATTCGTGAATATACTTTTTTGGCCCTAATGCATTTCCATCTCTTTCAAATAAAAAACACGACAAGATACCCATTGATTTCGCTCGGAATGTCATTCGAAACAAAACACAAGTCACCATCCTCTTCGAATCCCGACTTGTTTTGTTGAAGTTAAAATGGACGGTTCTGGCCGGTGTAATTCAACCAAACAAAACAAGATATTATGGACCGACATAATGGTATGTATGAGAATTGTGCTTAATTTTCAATTGCCACATAATGATGATGATGCATCTGGTAATGAAATACAAACGTCAACGCGAGAATGAAATTGTTGTCGACCCCGCACCATGAATTTGGAAGCCATTTGATTTCATCCCCTAAATTGACCTCTTTGTTTTTTCGATATCAAGGTTTTGTCTTGGTTAATCCGGACCGATCTGTGTTACACGCTTAATTTTGGTGGATGAGTCTCCCGGTATAGATTTTCGGTATACACGAAAACTCGAATTCAAGAATTTACTTAAACGATATCAAACTGTTTACCACTTGAACCAACTCATATAGTTGATTTGACCTATTTATTGTTTTCCCTATTTCCACCTTCTTCATTTGCACAATTTTTTTAAAAAATAATTAAAAATTCTCAATTTACACATTCTTTTTCTTTTAAATTCATTACTCATTGGGAGGAAAAATTCCTTCATACTAACCTAAATTGAAATTAGAAAAGAATAATATTCTGACCACTTACATTATTAAACCGTAACATTTTGGTCACTAAAATATCATTGTAAAAGGAATTATTATTTTATCTGATTTATAATTTTTAATAAAATATTAATTTATTTCATGAATTTAATCAAAGTCTCCCGATGTCAATAACTCTCGTCATATTAAATAAATTTTAATATAAATATTGATGTTTTTCGTATTATATAATTACATGATATTTAAATTTACTAATCCTCCATCGGTGTATCTAAACTTTATCACCCATATCTTTAATATTTAAGGTAATTTATACATTTAGTATCCAAATTATCAGTTTGATTTAATTTATTATCGAAATTTTTAATTTTTTGAAAAAATACCTAACATTTATTTTTTGTTTCATTTTAATATCTCGTTGTTAAGGACTTAACGACACTGTATTTTTATGGGTAAATTACATCATTCATCACCCAACTATCTTCTTACTTTTATTTTGGTACTAAAGTTTAAAAAATTTCAATTTAACTACTAAACTAATTCATTTTATTAATAATTTTTGTGACATGATATTTTTCATTATTATTATTTTATTAATATATAATTAAAAAAATAAAATTTAAAAGTTAGAGTAATTAAATTATGAATAATTTGAAATTTCAGTAATTAAATTAAAAAATTAAATTTTAGTGACCAAAATAGGAGTGAAAAGATATCTGAGTGATGAATGATGTAATTTACTCATAAAAAGGTATCACGTGCAAATCACTCATTGAGTTTTTAACGAAAAAAACTATATATTGGGTGGGTTAGAACCAAAGTGAAGAGAAGATAAAGGAGAGGAGAAGGAAAAAATAAAAGAAAGAAATTTAGATTCGAAGATATTTTTTTAATATTTTATTCATATATTATTATAGATGATTTTTGGTTTGTAGTTGTTGTTTAAATTAGCTAGTTATTTTTTTTTCTAGTCTAGTTTTGTTTTAAATTTTTAGATTGTATACTATAGATATAATTTAAATTTTACACATGTAATTTCGTTAGATTTGGAGCAATAAATAACAAGGAAAGAAAAAAATCATATTCCAATCGAAGGTATTTTTTAATATTTTATTCACATTATTACAGATGATTTTTTGGTTTATTGTTGTTTGCCCACGTCCACACATGTTTGTCGTAAACCTTCAAATGCTCTAACTTTCTCTCAAATTTTGGACGCAATGGTTCATATCCTGTTTCATCATATGATGTTGGCATCAAGAAAAATCAAAATGTATAAATATATACGCATATATAATTGGGATTGAAAGAATGAAACTTACTCATGCTTAAAACTTCACGACAAATGTGGTTGTTTTTCCACATTTCTCGACTATTCTTACCAATATGGCGTACACAATATGTGGGATATATGTGTGGAGGTGTCCAACAACTTCTTGGTTGTTCAATTACAATTAAAATGCATTTTCCTCTATCGGATATCAGGCAAACACCATTTTCTCAATCAACATATTCACGTAAATTACTCAAAAAAAAGTTTCAAGACTCCGATGATTCTTTATCAACAATTGTGAATGCAATTGGGAAGATATTTCGGTCACCATCTTCTACAACTCCTATCAATAATATATGTTTGTATCTTCCGTATAACCACGTCCCATCAACTTGGACTATACATTTGCAAAATGGAAATCCTTCGATGCATGACTTGAATGCCCAAAATAATTGCTGGGATATTTTCTTCCCTTCCACAACTTGACCTTTTCGATTGTATGCATCCAAGGTCTGATATTTTACTATAGTCCCTAGGATGAAATATTGCATTGCTTGTAATAAAGCCGGTAGCTCATTGTAGGACTCATCGTAATCACCAAATACTAACTTCTTTGCCTTCTCCTTTGCATGTCAACTCTTGGAGTATTTTATTTGATATTCAAATTGGTTCTTAATAGATGCTTGTATCACTGAAACGAGAACTCTTGGATTTGCTTCAACCAACATCTTTACTTGTTCACAGATTACATTCGAGTCCAATTGTCGGTGGTCTTGTTGGATGGAATTTCATAAACATGTGTGATTGCCATTGTACTTTGTGATCACCCAATCACTTTTCCTCTAAAGTTTAGACACTCGAATCTTCCAATTACACTCTTCTCCATATTTAACACATTTTGCAAACAAGTTCTCGGACTGGATTCTACAACAATGAAGTCTATATGGAATCCCAACTAATAAGTCATGAGAGTTACCCGAATTCATATCCAGAAATTCAGGCGCTTTCATCGCATCATAATCTATTAA